CTCTCTCTATATATATATATATATATATGTATATATATATGAGACTAGACTCCATTCTGAAGGGCATAAAGTCAGAGCAGCATCGGTGTGTGCAGTGGCCAGCCAATCAGCCACGACAACAAGCAGCAAAGAGCCACGTCCGGTGAGTCCTCTCTCTCTCTCTCTCTCTATCAGATTTTAATGGAAGAATACTCATTTTGATTTGAGTATTGAGAAGAAAAATGTAATAGAAAATGACTAGGTTCCTAATGAATTTTGGTTTGTAATCGATGGGGGTCACCTTGTGTTTTTTCTTTTTAATGGGATTAATTAGTTATCAAATAAATTTTTTTTTTTTAAATCTAAAGCTTTTTGGAAAGGTGATGGGTGGATGGGACCACCACCTTCTTGTTGGCGTTGTCCCTGATTCTAGGGTTTTCATAATACAAAGAAAGAAAAAGAAGATGTAGGGTTTTCAAAAAGGAATAATAAAGGAGTGGGGGGTTGCAATCGGTTGGTTTATACGGGAAGTGTTGAGGTGGTGCACAAGGTAGGAAGAGGGATTGCAGTGGTTCTAGATACAGAAATAAGGGCTTATGTGGTTTGTAAAGGAAGGGGAAAATGAAGAGAAAATGAAAAGAACCCAAGTTGTTTGTAGGAATAAAAGGGAGGTTATGGTTGTGGAATTGAGGGTAAGGGTGGGCACTATTGGACAATATTCATTGTATTTGGAAAGTAAATTTTATTTGTGTACTTAACAACAAACGGAACACAGAAGAAATAAAGAAAATGAGAGAGCTTGTTTGATTACAAAAATCAAATCAGAAAATAAAATAAAATAAATAAAACAGATTTTTATTTTGTTAGAAAAACAAAATGAAAATCTGAAACAGAAAAATAATAAAACAGAAAATAAATTAATTACTTACCAAATTAATTTCTTGAACAAATTTTCTGATCAAGTTCAGTGTTTAACACTGTGTCCTTAAGACAGATTCGTCCTCTCCATGGTGCTTTCAGATTGTGGACGTCTATCTCCCAAGATAAAATGATCAATAGCAAACAATAGCAGCATTACAAATTGTTTGCACAACGAACACACTAAGTGTTTACACTATTTTTCACAGATATTTAATGTAGCAAAATGCAGAGATTTATTGCAGAAGGAGAAGAACGAAAATTGTGAATGGAAAATCCAAATAAGGGCATGTCTTATTTTTTTTTATTTTTTTATTTTTTGATCAGCAAAGAAAAGGAAACTTTATTGATGAAATGAGCAAAAACAAGCAACAAAATATATCAATAAAGGAGGGAAGTGCAAAAAGCATCATAGCTAACACTCCACAATCCTAACTAGGTTGGCACCAAGGAGGAAGCATAATCATCTGCTAGCACTACACCCACAGATTGGCGAGAAACCAATCCAAAACAAAGAAACAAAAACTAAAATAAAAAAACCACCCAATCACACAGCCTTCCAAATCTGCCAATTTGTATCCCAAAACTGCATCAATTTGTAGCCCAAAACTGTTGCACTCTCCTAGCAACACTAAAGAAATAAACACCCCAGATAGCCAGCAGCGGACAGACAGCAGCAGCAAACCCAAACCAAGACTTCTATACAACTTTTGTAGCCCAAAACTGTTGCCCTCTCCTAGCAACACTAAGAAATTAACACGCAAGGTAGCCAGAACAGAACCATAGGACAGCAAAACATAACAGCAGCACTCATTCTTTCAAAGGCCAAGACAAAACAAATCCAAGGCAGCACCCGTTAGAACAAACTGCTCCAGAAGTAGTACAAAAATACTCCTTTTCACCATCAGTTCAGCACAGCAACATTACAGCAGTTCAATTCCATACTACAGCAGTTCAGCACAAAATTACTCCTTTTCAGCATTCTACACTACAGCAGATCAGGTCCAACATGCCCAGACAGATCAACATCAGCCAACTGTTCAGAAAAAGGGAAGCAATCCTGTTCAGAAATAGAACCACCATCAATTTGCTGATATGAGCTAGAGGACACAGATTCAGAGCAAAATACAGCACACAGATTGAGACCAATCCATTGAACTGATAAATCTGGACAGCAAGGAAAATAAGATCCGAACACCCAAAATTGAACCACTGTTGGTTCTATGCCAGGAAGGAAGTAGATGAGACCCTGTGCTACAACAGATAGAGTAATGGAGCAGCACTACAACCTCCCCTACAACCAACTGACTACAACACAGCCAAGTAACACCCCAAACTGCAGAAAATCAGATATACTTCAGAATGTAGATCAGTCTTTAGAACAAGCAGACTGCACAGCATATAAACTTCAATTTTGCACAGATGCAAAGCTGGGTGAGGACACCTACTCCCCGAAATTACACAGACTACACCTCTGTCCGTAGTTCAGAATTTCCACCCTTCAGAATACCAGCATAGCTACACCACACAGATGCAAATCTACACACTACCACCCTTCAGAGTTTTCACACTGCAACACATAACTGTTCGTCACACATATGCAGAGCTTCACAGCACAAATGTCAACACAGCACAAACATAACAGGAAAGGCACACTACATCACACTACAGCAGTTCAGCCCATTGTACCTACCCCTCCTAAACACCTCCTAATTTGCCTCAGATTGGTTCCAAAATCCTGTACAGAGAACTGAAAGTCTCTTAGATATGGGTTTACCCAGAAAGCAATCCTGTTTTTAATTAATTCACAGAGATCCTCTAAATTTGGGGGAGTTGCTCTGAAGACACACTCATTCCTGCATCTCCAGACTGACCACATCACTGCCAATGGAATGGCCCCCCAAATCAACCTTTCTATCTTCTTTAACTTTCCCCCAGCCCACCACAGGAGGAGACTCTCCACAGTGCATGGCAAAGCAGATTGGACATCCCACCACTTTAGCATTTCAGTCCATATGTTCCACACAAATGGGCACCAGATTAAGACATGGTTCAATGACTCACTTTCGCTGTTACAAAACACACAAACTGTGGAGTCATTTTCACAGATCACTCCCAGCTTTTGTAAAAACTCCCTGGTCTTAATTCTCCCTTTCCAAGCAAACCATCCAAACAATTGTACCTTAGGAGGGACATGTTTGAGCCACAACAATTTAGTAATTCTCAGGGTGGCACCAGCATTATTCACAATAAAACTATACAAATCTGCTATTTTTAGGATCCCAAGAGATGAAGCTGCCCAAACTGGATGATCTTCACACTCAACACATAGATCAGGGGCTGCTACCAGTAGATTATTGAGCCTAACCAATTCCATCTCCTCCCAGTCATATAGCTGTCTTCTAAAATCAAGAGACCAAGCCCTTGCTATGGTTTTTTTATCAACCAAGACTCTCAAGCACTCTCTTTTTTCCAAAGACAACCGATACATAGTTGGAAATTCATCTTTCAGACACACAGATTGACACCAAGCATCTGACCAAAATCTAATCCGCACCCCATCCCCTACTTTCAATTTGAAATTATGCAAATAAAACTCCTTTAAGCTACTACTCTGTTCAGCAACAGAGATAATTCCATTCCACACCGCTGAGTACCCAATGGATGGATTTAAAGATCTCATATCTATTGCAAATGATTCTTTTCCACAAAGCATCCTTTTCACTACCAAACCTCCACCACCACTTGACTAGCAAGCATTTATTTACATCCCTCAAATTTCTAATGCCCAAACCACCTTGATCTACTCTTTTTGACATTTCCTCCCATTTTATCATATGAATTTTCCTTTTCGCATCAGAACCACCCCATAAGAAATTAGCTTGAAGCTTCTCCAATTCTTTAGCAACCCCTTCAGGCATTTTAAACAAAGATAAATAAAACATAGGCAAAGCTGAAAATACTGATTTAACCAGTATTAACCTTCCAGCAAAAGACAGCATCTTCCTCTTCCACCCAGCTAGTTTACTTTTCACTTTTTCCACTACTGGTTTCCAAGTAGCTAACCTCCTTGGATTAGCTCCTAGTGGCATCCCTAGATAAGTGAGTGGCAAAGATTTAACTTTACAATTTAGGATTGCAGCCATATCATTCATCATCTCCGCAGAAACACCCACACCACATACCACGCTCTTGTGAAAATTTATCTTCAAACCCGATATGATTTCAAAGCACCTTAGCACCCTTTTCAATTTCCTCACCTCCTCCACCTCTGCTTCACTGAATAAAAGTGAATCATCCGCAAACTGTAAATGAGTTAACACCACCCCCTCACAACCTACTTTTACCCCTTTGATTAGGTTTAACTCACAAGCTCTACTCAACAACATGTGTAGGCCTTCAGCTACTAAATTGAACAGGAAAGGGGATAGGGGGTCACCTTGCCTTAGCCCCCTTTGAGGGCTAAACTCTTCGGTAGGAGAACCATTGACGAGTACTGAGACCCTTGCAGTTGTAACACACTCCTTCATCCAATTAATCCATTTAGTTCCAAACCCAAACTTGGAGAACATATCAAACAGGAAACCCCAATTAATAGAGTCATATGCTTTCTCAAAGTCCAACTTAATGAGCACACCCTTCTTCTTGGCCTTCTTCCAACCCTCTACAACCTCATTAGCAACAAGTACTCCATCTAGAATATTCATCCCGCTTAAAAATGCAGACTGAGACTCACTAATAATATGTGGCATTATGGATTTCAATCTGTTTGCCAACAGTTTTGCTATGATCTTGTACATTGAGCCTACCAAACTTATTGGTCTGAAATCAGAAAGCCCTAGTGGATTATCTCTCTTCGGAATGAGGGTTATGAAAGAGCTATTTATACCTTTAACCAATTTGCCATTCGTATGAAATTCTTTCACAAAATTAATGCCATCGCCCTTCATCACCTTCCAAAACTTTTGATAACATAGCAAATTAAACCCATCCGGACCTGGTGCTTTATTCCCATCACAATCCATCACTGTAGATTTAATTTCTGATTCTGTAAATTCTGCTTCTAGCAATCCGAAACACACTCTGCCTTCAACTGATGGAAACTAACCCCCCAACACAGGTCTTAAAGGCCATAGTTCTGCATACTGTAACTTAAAAAATTCCAGCACTTTACTCTTCACTTGACTTGGATCATCAAACACCACCTCCCCTTCTGAAATAGAGTTTATCTCATTTCTTATTGTTCTACACTTTGTAACGACATGAAAAAATCTTGTATTTTTATCCCCTTTTATGGCCCAGTTGAGCCTAGACTTTTGCAACCATAGCCACTCCACCATCCTACTCAACCTCCACATTTCAGCCCTAGCCTTACTTCTCTTCATTTTTTCCTCTCTATCAAGGTTTCTAACCTCAGCCAGCAGATCAAAACTATGAAGCTCACCCTCTACTAACTTCAATTTATTTATAACATTACCAAACACCTCCACATTCCAACTTTTAAGACCATTTTTCAAGAACTTAAGCTTCTGTGCCAGAATAAAACCAGCCCAACCCACAACATTGGCCTCTTCCCATTTAGACTCCCAGAATCTTCTAAGGTTTTTATGCAAAAACCAAGCATTTAGAACCGTAAAAGGCTTTGGGCCCCAATCCCTCTCATCCTCCATCATAAGGAGAGGGCAATGATCCGAGACCAAACGAGGCAAACCCCATAACTTTAACTTGAACACCTCAAGCCATTTTGGATCTACTAACACTCTATCCATTTTGCTCCACTTCTCCCCAGCAAATGAATTACACCAAGTAAATCTCCTTCCAAGTAAAGGTAATTCAGAAACCTCACACTTATCAATGAACTCATTAAATTCATTCATACCTCTATCCCTTCTTGAGCACCCTCTCCTTTCCCCAATCTGTCTAATCTCATTGAAATCTCCTCCTAAACACCAAGGATCAGGAAACTCCTCCTTCAGTTTCAATAAACAATTCCACAGTTTCCCTCTTGAGCCGACATCATTCGGAGCATAAATGTTTATAATAACACAATTGAACTGATGGAATAAAGTACCTGATAATAGGATGAACCTTCTATTACTGCAGCAATCCTTCACTTGGAATACATCTGGGTCCCATATACATAATAACCCTCCTGCCGAGCCTTCAGCATCCACCACCATAAACTCCATTTTAGCTTTAACCCATAGAGATCTGACATCTTCCTCAGAAAACTCTATCTTTTTTGTCTCTTGGAACAGTACCATGTCTACACTCCTCTCCTTTAAGAGCTTCTTCACTTTGCTTCTCTTCTCCATCCTTCCCAACCCTCTAACATTCCATGAAAGCAACTTCATAATTAACCATGTTTACACCTATCTACACCCCTGCTAATGTACTTTATAGCCCAGCTTTCTTCCCCACTTCAATACGCTCCATATCCTTCAATTCAAGATTCACTATTTCCTTCACCACTTCAGCTCTCTTGCCATTAAACTGCATCCCGAGAATTTCTCCCATTTTTACGGTTGCTTCGGCTTCATTCAGTATAAACCTCCCGTTGTCGACTCCACCCTCTCTTGAAGTAGATAGAGACGTTGCCACCACTGCTGCACACCAAGCTGCTGCCTTACGCATGGTTCGACTAGTTGAAGCACCTTTGCTCCCATACTGCCTCATCATCTCGAATGGTCTTCTCCTTAAAATGTTCTGATTAGATTTTCTCCTACTGTTACTCCTCTCCTTTACCTTTTCCTTCCCCTTCCTACATCTTGAATGCTTATTACTTGGCTCCTTCTCTTGGGCTTCAAAGAGGCTTGACAGTCTCCCACAATGCCCTACTTCAGCAGCGTTAATTCTTTCAGATGATTCCGGCTGCCCCAGCCCAGTTTCTATTGGCCCCAGCCCAATTTCTGCTTGACATAGCCCACCCCCTTGCTTTAATAAATTATTATGGCCCAAGACTACTTCTATATTCACACCAGACCTTTCAAGACTAGACCCTCGAAGACTTCTAACAAAACCTGGCGTGCCCACTTGGTTCTCCAAACTCTCACTGACAACCGTCTCCTCCTCAGAGCTGATCCTCTGGCTTCGCACTTCCAGCATTTCCTTGCACAACTCATCACTCATTTCTTTCCCCCCATCACTTCGAACATTTTGAGCTTCACCTACACTCCTCCAGCATGCCACATTTTCCACCTCCTTTCTCACACTACAACTACTTGGTCTGGTTTCTTGGCCCACCCCAAAGCCAACCTCCAGGTCAGCAGCTAACTCCTCCTCCATGTCAGCAGCATCATCTACTTCCGTTCTGCACTTTCTATCCTCATCTTGTTCTCCCAGCACATTTGAACTACCAAACTCATCTACAACTTGATTCTTATGACATGTACATGTAAATTTCAAAGCTCTGACCGTTACCACCTGTTCTTCGCAGACTCTTACTGGAAATACCATACCTCTGCATTCCAGTTTCACTACTGAGTTGATGGGCTCCATCCATTTAGTTGATACCTTGAGCTTAGCACACACAAAGGATAGTGGTTGACTCATATCCCCTTCAAGACATAGCACCTGCCCCCAGATCCCACCTATCTTTCTGAGATTGGAACTATTCCACAGATGTAATGGGATTCCATAACAACTTAACCATACACATCTTTCCTGCTCCAGTACCTGCCCAGATTGTCCTTCAGTAATATCTTCACACCAATCCGTGATCAGCTCCTTAATAGCTGATAATTTCAATGCCCTCTCCTCCTTTGATTTAAACGTAATTACTACATCTCTTCCCCCACTTTCCCTCACCATGATATCCTCCACTCCTATTGCTGCCAATTCCTTTTTCAGACTAACATCAGCAAATTGGGCCTTCAATCTTACAATGATACTCTCAAACAACCAGTCATTTCCTGCCTCCTCTGCCTTTAATAGGATGTTTCCTATTTCCCCTATCATTTTTCCTTCCACAGCCTCTGCATAGGATCTCCTATCTCTGATGCCACGAGCCCCATCTCTAACCACTCCAGCTTGTACGGCGTTTGCTACTGGTCTCTGCACTAGATTGTTTCATTTTTTAGTCATTCTCAACCATTGACTCAAATTTTTTATAATCTCTTTAGTTCTCAATTGTATTTTCTTATGATCCGTGAAGTTTTGAAGATAAAACTTGTCTGCAATCAACTCTCTTTCATTTTAAATTTTTTATTTAGTCTTTTTTTTATTTTAATAAAATTTGCTCAACATTTTTAGAATAACAATAATATTCACTGTCATAATAGGCAATGGCATGGAAAGAATGACTCAAATTTATATGTGAGATGTCAAGCCATTGAAAAATTTGTCATTTAAATGAGGATAGTAATCTTCCTTTTGGTTATTCCAAATCGTAACGCACAATATGCACTTGTTTGAGAATTTCTCTTTTTCATGTGTAATGTGAATTATCTAATTTTTTACGTAATAATTTACACATGCATCCACATAGTGTGGAATAACATTTCTCTTTTTATATCCTTATGTTTGATTCATAAATTTGAAAATAAATTTAGAAAGAGAAATAAAAAAAATGATAAAATATAAATGAAATATAATTATATTTCACTTGCATTATACACACATTTTCTCTTTTTCTTTTCAAATTTATAAACTAAATACAGCCTAAAAATATGCCAAGTATAAATTGTATTATGAATCTTGCAAGAAACAAATAAATAAAAATTTAAAATACACAATTATTTTATTGTTAATAGAATGACGTGGAGAATTAAAAAAGGTTGGAACCACATCCATTCAAAGCAGGGGGGCCACGTTAATAAGAATTGTGCACAACTTTCAAAGAGTAGCTATAACAGTTGCACTCTCCAAACAGGCGGGGGGGCCATGGCCCCTAATGGTCTCCCCGTAGGTCCGTCCCTGGGGTTGACACAGCTTGGCTCCACTTGAGTCCAAGTTCATCCCATCACGGAGGCACTCCAAAGCAACTTCATGAAAAATGGACTCCCGAGGTTGCTCTAAACTTGACGCTCTATATGCTCACCTCTATATATATAGAGAGGAAAGGGATGAGTTAAAACTCAGTAAATAATATCAGCATAAAAAGGTTAAATGAATGATGTCTACAATAATACAAAGCATATTTCATAAGTTTCGAAACAAATCATAAATAAATACTTGACATATCAAAGTTTATAAATCATATCTCATATGGGTACATCCAATAGTGCAAAGCAAAGGGCCCGAAGGCATATCAAACGGATCACATGGGTCTAAAGAAAGGGACCATAAAGGTCAAGCAAAGGGTCTACTTGGGTCAACATCAGAGATCTCTGTGCACATATAACAAAGGGTCACGGTATTATTTTCCTCGGTTGAGGGCCTCACTAAATGATACTACAATTACTTTTGAAAATAGACAATCATTCATTCTTATCAAAATAGCATTTCAAAATAACATTCTTGCAGTAATTCAAAAATACATTTCAACATATCCTTACAAAGAAGCTACTCACAGTGGGCTGGTACATGTGTTGGACCTCGGATAACTACTTATACAAAATACATAACAAAGATACACATTTAAGCGTTCGTTCATAACAAGTAGCGTATCTTAATTCGATTATCTTATGTGTATTTCTAACTTATTCCATGGCTAAAGATGTCTAAATAATGTTTAAGAATGCTTAAAAGAGTATGAGGATGCAAATATGCACATGTGAATGTTTACCAAAATTTGCTTCACACAGGGTATTCGCTCGAGCGCACCTTTGGTCGCTCGAGCGATGTGGCCTAACTGCAAAAATACTGGATGGTGTCAAAGTAGGCTTGATGTTTGCTCTGGCTAAGTGCAATACAAAGTCAAGTTCGCTCAAGCGCACACTTGGTCGCTCGAGCCAACTACAAAAGTCTGGAAAAATACTAGGAGCATGCAACATTCGCTCGAGCAAACTAGGCGAATTCTGGGTTTTCAGAATTGAATTTGAAGCTCAAAAATGCATTATTCATGTTCAAAGCTTGCATGGCTAAATCCAAAAGCATAAAAACTCTTTTAGAAAACTCAAAAACACAACTCATTTGAAATCATAAGTTCAAAACCTTTGTCAATTTTCAAAATCAAACCCCAAACTCATAATTCTCACCATGCATGTGTTGCATTCAACTCTTTTCTTTTCAAAACACTAATATATGAGATGAGAAGTGTAAAAACTATGAAGAACCTTCAAAGATGGTAAATATAGTTTCATGCATGTATGAATGTTTGGAATCAAACTCAAAATTAGAAAATTAATGCATGCATGTACACAATTGGCTCAATTCTACCATATTCAAATTGTTTCAAACATTTTCTTTCCAATTACGTGCAAATGAAGTGAAGTCAAAGTCTAAATGAATTATCTTCAAGAATTACGGGTGAATTCCATACCTAGAGCTTGAATTGAGATGTTGCTAGCTTAATCTCCTCAAATCTCCTTCAAATTCTCTTCAATAACTCTACACCCTCTCTAGAAGTGTTGTTCTCACTCTCACTCTAAATTTCAGGTCAAATGATGTCAAAATGAACTCTTAAACATGTTTAAGGCATACATATATATATATATATATATATGTGTGTAGATTAAGTTAAGCTAATCAAATGAGATTAGGGCCAATTAATTAAACTTAATTCTAATTAATCTTAATCAAGTCTAATTGATTTATTCTAATCATTCTGATCCGAATCAAATTTTAATTAAACTGAACATAAGGTTCTAAATATTTCAACTAACCTATTGAACTAGTCAATATTGATTTCTAAATCTGTTAAGGCTTTCAATTTCGAATTCTAAGTCGGTGGTCTAACAAATATTCCAAAGATAGACAGATAAACACAAATTAAATATATAATCATACAATTATACTCAATAAAATAATATATAAAAATAATACGTATATCGGATCGTCACACAAGTCCAAGAAAGTATGTGAAAATTTTTATACTACAAAAATGATCTCAAAAGACTCTGTACCTGCTTAAGGACAAGTTATGCAATTGGGGGTGTTTGGGAAAGATTTTTTTTTGGTTTTTTATTTTTATTTTTTTCACTAAAAGACAAATTGGTTACAAAACCAAAAAAAAAATAAATCCAAACAAAATATCACATCAAACCCCATACTCATTTTACTTTTTCTCTCACAAACATCACATCCAACCACAAAAAATCCAATTATCTTCCCAAACACAAAAAAAAATTTCTCCAATAATATCCTATAACTAAAAAAACCTAAAAAAAAACTCACTTCCCAAACACCCACAATATTCAATTCACGTAGAAGAAGAACATGACACCTTTGAATATGACCTCTCAACCAGTGGCAA